GGGAACAACGCGGCCAACCGGCGGCAGCGCGGGGCGAGCGCAGGCAGCGGCGCCGGGACACTGCTGGCACCGAGCAGCACAGACTCACCCAACCGAGCCTTCGGGGAGCTCGTCCCGCTCACCGGGAATGGGAAGCAGATTCACACGGGAATGCGCTGGCAGACAGGGATCCACCGCCCGAGAGGCTCCTATGGAAGTGAGAGGAAATGAGTGAATCATGGAATCAACCGGGTTGGAAGAGACCTCCAAGATCAAGTCCAACCCTACTGTGGTTACCAGACCATGGCACTAAGTGTCACATCCAGTCTCAGCTTGAAAACCTCCAGGGATGGTGAATCCACCACCTCCCTGGGCAGTACATTCCAGTGTCTGAAATGTTACTGACAGAGCTGTAACACAATGTGAACCACAATGTGGCACTTGGTGCTACTGTCTAATAACCACGGTAGGGTTGGGCGTGCTGAGCTTGAATATCCAAGAATATTTCTCCACAATTTTCACGCCAAACTACTTAAAATATTAGCAAAGCAGTTGTCTTTACAGCAACATTTTTAAACCAAGGATCTCTCCATAATTTGGAAAACCAGGAGTTGCTCAGCATTGCTGCAAGCAAACCAATCACCCCACTTGATTCTATGATTCTATGACAATCCTCAATTATTTGATCAACTGAAGACGAATCAGTAAATGTTTTCTGCACCCTGTGCAGCTCAGATTAGACACAGCAGGTTGTCAGTGTTTGGTTAGGCCATGAAGAGGTTGCCCAGGAAGGTGGTGGAGTCACTCACCATCCCTGGAAGCATTTAAGAGGTGTCTGGATCTGGCACTAGAAGATACAATTCTAGATATGCAGCATATTGAGGCCTTGTGGAACCTGATCTAGTGGGGAGGTGTCGAGGGTTGGGACTTGATGATGTGTAAGGTCCATTACAACCCCTAAATTCTATGATTCTCTGATACCTATTCCATCATATATATTTAAGACATAGTTTAGGGTTTAGGGGTTACAGCAGTGGCAGGTTAATGGTTGGACTTGATCTTAAAGGTCTCTTCCAACCTTGATGAATTCATGATTCTAGTGCAAAGCATGATCTGAAATTCACATTTCCTGTTACATACACGTAAACATGTGAAGTGTGACAACTTCTCAGAGCTGTAAGCATCTGCCCACTGCTCCAGCAATAGATGTGCATGAGAGGTTTAGTGTGAGGAGGAGATTCTACTCCAGGAGAAGAGAACCAGCTTGAGAGGAGACAGATCCATCCACAATCCTGCTGTGGATCCAACAGTAGATCCAATCCCAACCCTCTTGTGGCCTCTGGGCTGAACTCAGCAGAGCTCACCCTGCTGAAGTCACTCTGCACTTTGCTGCTCCAACCACACAGTCAAAGGCTTTAAAATAATTTATTACTTTTTGTTTTAAATAACCATTTTCTGTACACCATAAAAGTACTGATTTTATGTGTCCTTCAAGGTTTATATAAAATGGGTACAAAATCCAAGAATATTTCTCCATAATTTTTACCCCAAAGTTCTTGAAATATTAACAAAGTGCTTCTCTTTACAATAACGTTTTTAAACCAAGGATCTCTCCCACAATTTAGAAAACAAAGGGTTGCTCAGAATTGCTGCAAGTAAACCAAGAAATGCCAATAAGAGGCCTTTAGCAAGGCACTGGGAATATGGTTCTCCTGGAAAAGAAGGGAAGAAAGAAAAAGTGTAAGTGTCTGAGAGCTGAATTTTAGTTTAGACAACAACCCAAATATAGAGAGTAAAATGTAAGCACAGCCTGAATAAATACTGCAGCACAAAGCAAGGAAGGAAAATGCTTCATACTCATAAAACTTTATACTCGTAAAACTTCATTCTTTGTGTAACTTTATTCCCTGGAGTTGTGCAGAAAATAAACACAGGCAGTTCCCTCCAGGACAGAGTCCAAGTGCCTTGATGCCCCTTGAATCCCAGACATTCAATCTTCAGAGTCTCCCATGAAGTATAACCCAGAGATTTACAGAGAGGAAATTTAAAAATTAACTGTCTTAACAATATGGCAAATTTTTACAGGCAAAGTGAGAAGCAAAGTCTCCCTCCACCCTTCAAGGGCAATGACACACACTGACAGTGCTACAGCTACAGAGCAGAATCATAAATCAATATATTCTCCTGTGCCTCAGCCAGCACATGTCCCTCCAAACCCCACAGGGGAGTGAGAAAGGATCTCTCTCTGCCAAACTGATATGAAATTTCAACTAGTAGTTATTTTTTCCCACTAGTCTAAGTATGAAATTCATGCACTGTCAAGGAAACAACTGAACAGGTTGTTTGGGCCTTGCTTTCTGAAAGAGGAATTTGAATTCCCTGCTACAAAGCATTATTTCAGACTGAACTCCACACATCTAAGTATGTTTCAATGGAATCTGCCCAGTTTGGGGCACTCCACACTGTCTATTGTCATTACCTGTGTAAAACCGAGTCAGGGGATACAACAGCTGTGGCCAACACACATCGTTTCGATCACAGTCAAACTCTGCATAGATCACCTGATACCTGGGGAGAAGGAACCTCCTGGTCACTGCTGGTCACACTGCTGAACATAATGTGAAGCCATCAGTGGTTTTAGCAAAATTACCTCGTCACTGGAACAGGTGGCTGAGCTGGGACTTGAATGAACTGAACAGAAGCTGTGATGGGGAGAAAGCTGAGGCTGTTCCCACAGCTAAGCCCACACTGGAACTGCCACAGCACTGTGGAGTAACTGGAATGATAAGAATAACGATTGCTTGAGGGCTGTAAATGGAAATTTAGAGCCGAAACGTAACCATGAAAGGATAAAATACACAGTATTGGAGGAGGTTGGTAATTCCTGGATTTTCAACACCACACAGGGGAGAACTTGCCAAGTCTGGAAACATAAAATGAAACAGAATCACATTGATTTGATTGGGACGGGAGGGAAGTGTTTGCAAAGTGAAAATTCCCTGGTTCAGGACAGAATAATAAAGCACTTAGCACAGCTCTCAGGAGCTCTGCACTGGGGTAAGACAACACAGGACACTGCTGTCACTTGCACCATGTGACAAGAAATTCAGACATTCTTCTGCTGGAATGCCCTGTGTGTGCTGGCAGCACCATGGAGTTTATTTAGTGTTTCAGTGAAGTAGAAAAATTATCTACTCTTAACCATTAATGAATTTTTTCCTTTTCATTTCAGAGGGAGAAAGACTAAACTGATTGTGATCAAAGGAATTTGGGTTGCAAAAAATGAAAGGCATATAAAAATGAGAACACCACTTTTGTTTGTAAAATTTAACCTGGCTGTGTTAGGTGAGTCTCCAGATGAAACACTGATCTGTCAGCTAACCAGAGCCACAACTCACTCTACCTGATCTGCACAGCAAGAATCTGTTGCTGGGGAATCCCTTGCACTGCTCCCACTTCTGCAAAGACTATTTGAATATTGAGGTTTGCAGGAATATCTGGACAAATGCCTTTTATGCTTCCAGTGCTCACATTGGTATCAGAATGAAATGGACCAAGACCTGTGGAGGAGAATGGAGTTAGTAAATGTAAATATTATGGAAAAACATTGTATTTTCATAGCCCAGTGAAATATTGGTAACTGTCACACAGGGACACATTAAAAATGGTTTCTCTCTATAAAAAACACTTAAGTGAGTTATTTATCACCAGATAAATGCCAAGTCCTATGTGGACAGGCTGGTGCAGTATCCACACACACTGAATTCTCTGCCTGTGTGTACACATAGGTGGATGGATGGATCCAGACACACAGATCAGTAATTTTAGGCACTTCAAATTCCATTTTGGGTTTAATTGGAGATGTTCTGTTCATTGTATGAGCACAATTAGACTGTAAAGAACAGAGCAAACCTCACTTACGTCTGATTTCCACCCAATCATTTAGATCAGAGTAGCTGGAATTGTCTCTCTTTCCAATGTGAGTAGCTTGTATCAAGGAATTCAATCTCTCAGTTACATTTCCTCTGCAACATAAGAATGGAACATCACACAAAAGGTAAATCTGTATTGCCTGCCACTCTGGGTTGAAATATTGTTCATCATAAGGTCAGTTTCATCTGAAAGATGTTATCACTCAACAAAAATAAACTTGCCCTAGTGAGTTGCCTGTTGAAGACACAGCAAAACATTCCACCCACACACAGTCCTCATTTGAGTACAGAGTGAAACCACTATTATAACTTCCCATGAAAAATAAAGTGAGACTTTAACCCCCAGAAAACTGAAATGACAGATGAATATTTAAGAAGAACCTACCAGTGCTCCTAGAAGGCATTTGCAGACAATCAGGTAACAAGCAACAGGAGGTATGTAGGGAGAAAATTCAGCTTGTGCAGCTCACCTTAACAGGCTGCAATCTTCATCAGTCCCAACTTCTAGAACACACCCAGAGTGTGAGTCCACTCCAAACAGAACTGGTGTGTAAGTTGCTGATGCACATAAACCTCTGCCAGCTGCGAAATGAAAACATCTTACTTGAGCTTTCCTATATCCACCTTCAGGTCTGTAGCTTCCAATTTTGTGCACAAACATCAAACATCAGAATGCAAAACACAAAGCAGCATAGTTCAAAAATAGAGGCAAGTTCTTTCCACTTAAATATTCCAGGAAAGTAGCAGAGGTTTTCTCACTGACCTTGGGATACAAAAGCAAGATCTGGCAGAGGTTTTTAACTAAAGTGTGTTTAAAAAAAAACCACTTAGTGCCATGGTCTAGTAACTAGGGTAGAGTTGGACTTGATCTTGGAGGTCTTTTCCAACCTGGATGATTCTATGGTTCTATGATTTTATGAACAAAGCCCCAATGTTTTAGCATTAAGTACAGCTGCAGCTGCAGCCTCACATGTACCTGGCTGCCAAATGTTTAGGCTTCCAGAAGGATCAGATTCATTCAGATTTGCAGCTCTCACTGCTTCTCCAACTTGATAACCTAAACACAGAAGGGTAAATCATTAACACTGTGTGAGGATCCATAAGCATTAGCATTGATTGAATAATAAATGTCATCAATCCTGTAGCAAATGAACAGACATTTCCATTACAGTGGGAATAGCCTCATTTTAAACAATCAATATCTATGCAACAAAAGCCTAAGAACCAATCACTGCTGCTGGCACTGCAGTAAGGCAGGAAGGTGAAGGTTAGCAACATAAAACATGATCACTGATAATAACTTGTACAGTGTGAATTATTTTTCATTTAACAGGCAAAATAATGTATTAATACCTGGATCTCCAAATAATTCTGTTTCATTGGTTCTACTTAAACTGAGAAATTCCACTGTGAATCTCTGTGTCAGTATTTCTGGTAAGAGAAAAAAAATTAGGTTACTTTTAAATGATAATTAGCAAAAAGAAGGGTGTAAATTGGCAACAAGTATGGTGTAAATTAGCAAAAGGTATGGTGTAAATTAGCAAAAGTGTGCTCTGTGTAGAATATAAACTTCCATCCTTCGCTACTAGCAGAAGACTCAAAATAACACAAACTAATGAAAATCAGCCTCACACTTTTCTTTCCAGAGTCCCAGGGAAATTCTGTTTAAGCAGCATTAGTAAATAAGAGATTCTATCACAAGATTTCCATATTGAAGAAAAAACTATCATTAAAAATCATTAAAAAATGTCATGATACCTCCATCACATAAGCTCCCAAGGAAGACTGTGACATTGACTTGCTCAATGTTGTTGTCTTTCCAGCTGAATGTATAATGCTCTGCAAAAGTTACACTCTGACACAGAACCTCAGCAGGATGAAAACTTTCTGGCAGGAGAAAAGCAAAAAGGCCACACTGAAAAGCATTGAATTAGAAAACTGTGTTACTGCAGCTGAGAAGATCACATTCAAACCCTAGCAAAATTCTGGAAATTACAACATTCATCTTTTTTTTTTTTTTTGCTGAGTAAATGTGCAATGGAACAATCCCCATCTGATCAACATTTTCACATCAGCATCTCCAGGTCCTTTGTAGCTGAACCTCTCCACAAGAGCCCAGCACTGGACTTTACATCACCAGCTGATGCACTTCTCTGGGCTGAGGACTCCCTCGTTACCATCTCATCCCTCCCAGGGAGGCAGCACTGCCCAGAAAACTCATTAGCTTGGATTCCAATAGTTTCATTTGTGCTACATTATCCTCCCCTGACTGGGAACTGCTGTACTACGGCAAATAACTGCTGAAAAAGGCCCTTAAAGAGGCACGAGAGGTTACAAAACAGACACAAAACTGCTTACAGCCTGTCCATCCCACTTAAATGTTCATCCTGGAGACTTTTTTAGGCATTCTTTATACCTTTGTTTATTGTTATTGTTGGGGGTGTGCCTTCTCAAAACTTAATTTTAATGCAAGATGAGGAACCTGATTTCTTGCCAGTTGGGGTAAACTGAATACTTTTTGCTTTTCAGGAAGCCAAACAGTTTACTGAATATTAGATAACATAAAAGATTCCTCCTAAGAATTGCAGCAGGTAAACATTTGAGGCATCAAAATAATCTGTTTCTTACATAATCCAGGTGAGGTAAGAGTCATATTAATTCAATGGAAGAGACATACCACCTCCAGTGATGAATTTGCCCTTGTCAGTGATGGTTCTGTAGAAGACATTCTGCTGGATGAAGTCTGAGAATGAGAAACAAACACTGCAGTGATCCTGAGTAATAGGAGACATAGATCTGTCTTTACATCCAAGGTGCAAACCTTGTTACCAACGCTGAGTATAAAATTATTTAGACAATTGAATTTGGTAAAGACCCAAAGTGTTTGTATTTTAAAGCACAGCTAATTATCTCTGGGGATTACAAAGATAATTCAGACTAACACAATGAGACAATTATGGAGCAGAAGATGAAAAATCTTCGTGCTGTAATCACATTGTCCCAAACCCCAGAATGGCTCTTCATAGGTACAAGGTTTTGTCAAGCAGAGGAACCACTTCTCACTAGTTCTAAAACACTGATAGTGAACCTTCCTGCCAGAAAAAGGCTCTGCAGCAGTCTGAAAATAGTGGCACTGACACTGTTCATAACCTTTATGAGCCATCAGAAACAGCTAATGGGAAACAAAGAAAAATCCCACCGTTTTTCACATCCTACATCTTGGGAAATAGTGGGACACTTGCTAGAAGGTCATCAGAAGCAGGAACAGAACATCCCCACATGGGTGAACTACAGCCACCAGGTAACAGAGATGCTATGCCAACAGCCCTTGGGTTTGGCTTGTTCTAGAAGCTCTGGGTGACATGAAACACATTCCTGATTGGATTAATGCAGCTTACCCCCAGTGCCAGTGTTCACCCTCACACTGTGGGACAGGCCTTCCTTGTAAGATGCTCTATTGGTCAGGCACTTGACATCAAAGTTCTGCAGATAGGCCACAGGGGCATTTCCAACACACTGTCCAGCCATGGATTGCTGCAAGGGGTTAGAGAAATAAGTATTTTTTAGCCCCTGCCTTTCCACTTGAAGATAATTAGTTAGTGAGATGCTCCTAGTGGGCACTACAGCCTAATGGGACCCTCTGAGAAACAAGTCACCTGATGTGAGCAAAATATCTCAGTCTATAGTTTCAGTGTACACTGTGGCTTCATCCTTATCTGTCAAAATAATTATCACCAACAAGTGTCTCCAAAATGCAAAAGGAATCTGACAAAAGTCCTACCAGATGACTAAGATTCAAAGGGAAAACTAACTACAGTGCTCAGTAATACAGCAAGTGGCTGAATTTGGATGCAAAGCCCCAAGGAGTGTGAGGTACAGAGAGTTTCAAACAAACCAAGAGGAATCAAAAGCTCAAACACAAAGTGATTACCTGAGGAACAGTGAAATACTCATTTTCTTCTGTTATAATTGGGTCTCCTTGTCTGTAACCAGTGAAAAGTCTCCCAGGAGAAGTTTGTAAAGGGATGTTAAATGAAGGACCTTTGGGTGCAGAACTGCAAACAAGTTTCAAAATTAAACAAGTGCTTTACTCATTACCTCACACAAACAACTACACATCATCTCATGCAGTACCAACGACATTTCTCCATTTGCATGTAAAGTTCACAGCCTAAAAATCCCGATTTCCACAGAACTTTCACTGTAAAAAAACAGGTTATATATTTTTGGCCGCATGACTCACGTGTATGTTGAGAAAATAACTTTTCTTAAGACTTACGTAGAGCCATGGTAAAAGTAGCCAAGAAATGGAGTGTTGTCAAGAGAAGATTGTACACACAGGAAGGGAAACCACTCAGGGGTATATTCCAGTGAGCTGGAAGTGCAGAGCTGATCAAAAGGTGGGTTTACATCCCCACCAAACACCCCAGTGAAACAGGACCTGTTGAATAACTGCTTCACCTTGGGTATACACTCCTGAAAGGGAAAGGAATGGTCACTTCAGCATGGTAACTGCATTACCAACAGCACTATAGCCACATTCACAGGCAAATCAAACAGTTTTGGAGAGAGAAATGATATTTACGAGGAAAAACACAGAAAAATCCAAACAAGCCCTGTGGCCCATCCAGTCTGAAGCATTCAGTACCTCTCTCTCCCCCCAGACAACAGAAAGAGCCTAGAAATGTTGAGAACACCTAAAGTTTAATATGAAATAAGTACCAAATCACAGCAACAACGAACATCACAAGCTGCAGCTGTCAGGTCACAGGGACAAGGGCCCAAGGGCCAAAATGCCTGGTTGGGGATGATGGTTGCATTTTCTGCAAGAGAATTAGAAGAGAAAATCAGATTTAGTGGACTAAAATCCAAACAAACAGACCATGCACATTGCAATTTATTCTGACTGTACAGACACCTTTCTTTACATTCCATTGATAATTATTCAGTGTCACTTATTGCTGTCCAAATCCCCAATTATTTTTTTCACACAGAGAGGAAAACAACAGCCAAAATGCCATTTCTTCTTTCTTCTTCCTCACCAGCCTGGTCTAATGGGGAGGTGTCTCTGCCCAGGGCAGAGGGTTGGGACTAGATGATCTATAAGGTTCATTCCAACCTCTAAAATTCTATGATTCTTTAGCATACCTAAACACTTACCTGACACATTGCCTCTAAAGGAAGAGTTGGCATATATTTCAGCTTGAATGAGGAGCTGTGCCAGCACCACTGAACCATGGCAAGCCACAACCTGGAGTGTCTCCATCACGCAGAGAGGTGAGGGGCAGCAGTCAGTGATGTTGGGCAAACACAACTGCAGGTTTCTGGTCAAGCTTACAGTCACTTTGGAGATGTTCTGGAAGTGCAAAATAAAGCTGGACAGCTCTGGTGACTTGTTTAAAATTGGTCTTAATTACATCACTCATCAGCTTCTGAGAGGAAAGTTGGAATGAAGTGGAATGACAAAGAGTTTGCTTCTGAGGATTACATCACTCATCAGCTTCTGAGAGGGAAGTTGGAACGAAGTGGAATGACAGGTTGGAGAGTGGAATGACAAAGAGTTTGCTACTGAGAGAGGCAAATACAGTGAGGACATGCACTGCATGCAGAACCTTTAAGGCATGCACAGAAGTTATCTCAGAAATCTCAGCACAAATCCAAAGAAAAGAATAAACATCAAAAAGTGAACTTCAGTTTTTACAGCCTTCAGTTTAAAGTGACTGCAGAACTGATAAAATCCCTAAGGAATTACATCTAACACCTAGCACAAATCCAAAGAAAAGAATAAACACCAAAAAGTGAACTTCAGTTTTTACATCCTTCAGTTTAAAGTGACTGCAGAACTAAGGAATTACATCTAACACCGAAGGCAAGTCAATAAATACAGATGTTCCAGGGTTCATGCTGTATAAAACCACTACTTTTATTTCTGTTAGCTCCTTCCAGCAGATCTGGAACAGTCTCAGATGCTAAAACCAGGCAGTTCTGGAGAGCAGGAGGACAACAGGGAACCAGAGTGAAAGCTGCACCTCAGCACATTCCAGCAAGGACAGCCACATCAAGGGAAACAGGCAAGGGCAAGATATTCAAAAGGAGATGTTAGCACATTAACATTCTGCTAGTATTTCATTAGCCCTCGATATCTGACAGCTCCATTACTCCCATTTCAGGGCAGAATCAGTGTTTTACATACCATACCAGGTGAAACATCCAAATTCCAATCAGCAGCTCTTTTACTGCCACTGCAATCTGCAAGTGGCAAGTATCCTAGTGCAAAATGAAAAGGATTCCACTGTTATTTAGACAAGACTAGGACATAAGAAGTACATTTATATTCTTCTTGTGCCTTCAGGCAGACAACCCTCAGGCCCAGCTGACATGGAGTCAACAGAGAAGTAAAGGCTTGACCACAGAAACCCTTTGGAGTTCCTAGTTCAGTAACTATTAAAGCACTAAATGAAATGCATCACCATTTCTCCAGTAATTTTACTGCCGAAAATATCGATCACTCAAATTTATTTACACCTTTGGGGAAGAGGGGGAAGTGGGGGGGAAGTCTACTTACCTGTCTCTTCATCACTGGGACTTATAATTAGGGAAAAATTAATTCCTGAAGAATTTCCAAGATAAAAGGAATTGACTCTGGGCCCTGACATATGGATAAACGAAGGCTGAAAGACTAAAGAAAAGAGACAGAAATAAACAAGTCTTAACACACAGTGACTGCAAACAGTAACATCTGTAAGACATATTTAGGTCTTGGGCTAGATTCTTGCCTTGCTCTACTTTAAATTGCCACAAGCAGAGCAAAAAACACTTTGTAATGCCTAGTTAAGGGTTGTGTTCACATTCTTGCCAAGTGCTGGAGCAGTGGGCTCACTTACCTGTCCATACCATGAGTTTACACTCGTGAAGATGCTCAGGACACACAGTAACATTGTCAGGAGACTGAGCAGATGCACTGACAGCCCCTGCAGACAACACACAGCTCAGGCAGCAGCGTGTCTCGCATTTCTCGCTGATATCAGTTTATTTTTTAATTTCCTGAAGCCATGAAGGGCACCAGGAGTGTCCCACTACCTGTGGCCCAGCATCGCAGCCCTCAGCACGTAGACACAGCATGGACTTCAGAGCACCAAACTGAGAGTTTCACAGGATTTTTCCTTATGGTCTTCACCAAGGGTTAAAGGCTGCACATGAGCAGCTCCACCATCCCCTCCCAGTCTCCCCATGGCCAGCACATTGGGGCTCAGCGGCATCAAACACCCGCGACCTCCCCGTGCTGGGGAACGCTTAGGGCATTCACCGCCTGCCCCCGCTCCCCACACGCCCGTTCTCCGGACTCCTGCACCCACCGGGGTCCGCGGCTCGCCCTGCGGGGCTGAGAGACGCCAGCAGCAGCGCCCCGAGGCAAAGAACCTCCACAGCGCCCAGAGCGGCCCGAGGCGCCGCCATCTTGGGGCGCCAGCGCGGCGCCATGGCAACGCGGGGCGGGAAACGGGAAAAGGGCGGGAAA